AATTCGTTACTCCCTAGTTGAACCCCCAAGTTCCCCAAACCCTAGATCAAGACGCACTGGCCTTGCTGATTCCAGAGCCGGGGTTCTCAAACTTGTATGTCACCATCAGCAAGGAGGGCTCATCACAACACACATCCTTGGGGTCCACCCCTGAGGGTCCGATTTTGTAGATCTGGGTGGGGCCTGAGAGTTGGCATTTCTAACACAGGCATCTTCAGCCCAGCTAGGGGCCACACATTGAAAACCACTGTTCCAATTGGCATCCCAGGATACCAGCCCGTCGATGCTGCCTTTCCGTCCCCCTCTGGAATATTGAAGGACTGGGTTCTGTCCCGCAAGCCTAGGAGGGAGCGACCGTATGAGCTGCTGTCAACATCAGGCCCCCTGCCCGGTGCTCTCCCCTTAACTGATTCCCCACTGGCCCCCGGACCTGCGGACCTGTGTTCTCCTTTTCCTGGGCTCTGTAGAGTCCAGAGCAGGCGACAGCAGGGGGTCTGGTCTTTCCTTGGGACCTTTTTTCTGAGCTTTAGTAAGCAAATGTTTATACACACAGCTGACCCAAATTAGCTGGAGCCGCAGGACCGAAATAGGAATAGCCCATAACCAAACTCCAAGGCAAGAACACGAATTCCCTTGTGAGAAGCGATTAATCTTCCTCCAGGGGGAACGAGTTAGATGTGCGGCTGACTGAATTTACAACCGTATTTTAATTTGAAATCGCATTGACTTATTTTTCTTTTTAATTTAGAAATCCAAATTCCTTTTCGATCTTAAATGTCAGTGTCCCTGAAAAACAAAATGTTGCCATTTGATATTCCCAGGGCTGGCAGCAAGAGGTCCTTCATTTATTTTCTAAAGAGTCAACTTAGGGGGTGCATTACGGTTTTCTCTGGCCCTCAGGGGAGATGGCGAAAACCCACATTCTCTGGAGTCACAGAAGAAAACAAATGTAATCACGGGACCGTGACAGGACAGTGTTCCATGGTGTGCCCTCAAGCCAGTGCCCGGTATAACATCTCTGAAGCCCTGAGGAGAATAGCGTGTGGTAAAATGCAGTGTAGGGACCTCTTTGGCTTTCTTCCCAAGCCCTTGCCAAATGGACATAGCGTCTCCCACCCTGTGATAGAAGGTTCCAGAAGACCTTTGTGTTCCTGGCATCAGAGACCCGGACTATGCAGATCATTTCACGGGGCGGGGGACTTGTTAACACCAAGAAGTGACGAATTACAGCTCTCTCCAAAGCTAAGATACAGGAAATGCAGTGTTTCTTAGAACACTTAATAAGCTCTGCTAATGGGAATTGAAGAGCCTTGGGAGTAAGAGAACCAGATAAATTCCTCCTAATTCCTAAGCCCAATTAAAACCAATTGAATTTGGATGTAAGTCCTGTCTCAGGATAGATTCATACTGTTCCCTTCAGGCTGCTGCTTAAGGAAAAGGATGTGTTCATTCCTTTTAACCACATAGTACAGCCACACGAAGACCATTTCCTTTCTGGATTAGAGAAGCGATTAGGCCAAAGTCAATATGTAATACCTAGGGAGCTGCCAGACTGTAGGGTAGAGGTGAAGACCTATCCGTTGAGATTGCACACATTCACCAGGGCTCCCCAGACTCCAAGCAGACTCACAAGATCTGGTTGCCTAGGGAAGCAGGAGTTGTTTTCAGAATTCCATCAAGATAAATTGCAACTACGATCAAAGGTAGGAAAAGATGAGCCTCCTTTCAAAGGATGTCAAGTAGACCTGAATCAGAGGCAACGCACAAGCGACGGAGTAGAACGGTGCATTTCTCCAAATGATTTCCCAGAGTTACTGAGTGGGGACAGGCAGGGGGCGATGAGGCAGGGAGGGACACGTGAAACAGCAGATTTTGCAAAGAAGCCCGTTTTAAGAGTGAAAGCAGCCAAGAGAAACTGGTGTGAGATCAATGGGAAATGTGATATTCTAGCAACATATTCCGTTATTTTTCCTGTAAGAAGGGAAGCCTGTTAATCTAAGTGAAGAGGAGGGTGCTGGTCTAATGTTCTTAGCCAGCTGGGGCGATTCAGCCATTCCTTTGGTCAACACTGTTAATGTCCAGGTGAAGCAGGTGGACTGAGAGGGAGCCTGCCTTTGTGGCTTTCCAAGCCGTGCCTTCCGTAGATGGTAACTGGGTCAACCAGTTGCTAGGACCGCAACACCATTTGTTTGATGTCCAGCAAGCCTTCCTGAAAACTTTGCTCGAATTGAGCATGACCTTAAAGACCGAACGAGACCTCACACACACACACATAGCCCCATGTGCCAATCTGGCCAGAAATCCAATTTTTTTAAGCTGACCAAAGCTCAGAAGAAAGTTTCACTGCCTGCCACTTAAGAGCGGACATCTGTGGGAGCAATATTGGAACTCCAGATCGTGTGATTTGCCAGCTTGCCCGGACTTAACAGTTCAGAAAAGTATTCAGTGTGGTCCCGGAACCTCACTCCTAACAAGCAGTGATTGAGTGTGGCTCCTGACGGATTGTTTCAGGGGATCAGGAAAGCTCTGTAAAAATGCGGCATTTTGCTGAATGGTGTTCTCCTTCTTTGCTAGTCAAAAGAGGGGCCCCATCCTGGTGGAGAGCTGCTCGGAAATCGTGAGCGGGAGGAAGAGGGCAGAAGGAAGGCAGCCTTGGGTCCAGGCTGCACAGGCTGCTGTGAGCTTTGGCTGCCGTTGCCTGTGTCTCCTGGGTGTCAATATTTTGACGTATTTTGTTATTTTGGCATATTTTGTTAATACGCCTTGAAAGAAGTGAGGTTGTCAGAGGACCTAGGCTCTTAGCCCTAACTGTGTGACCCTGGGCAGTCAACCGATTTCTGTGGACCTCCGTTGCCCTGTTCGTTCAGGATGAGAGCTTATTTCATTATCTCCAGGGTCCCTTCCAGCCCTCAAAGTCTGATTCTGTGCTTCTCACTCAGCACCCTCAGTTGCATGTTCCTGTCAGACCAGTCACGGACCTTATCCACAGTACGTGTCCCTTCCTATGGGTTGGGATGCGTCTGCCGTGGTCCGCAGCCTCCACCCAGACTTCTGCACTCAAGGGCAGAGCAACGTCAAAGAGGGCGTTATTCACCCTATCCACCCCTCTCCCTCACTCCGGAGCATTACTTCTGGGCCCCGTCTTCCACAGCTCCCCCCCGCCCCCCCATGTTTCCTCAGGATCTCGAATGCCCTGTCTCCACCACTTCTCTTTCTATCGCACACCCTGCCTTTGCTGCTTCTCCCGTCTTTGACCTCAGTGCCACCTGCCTCTCTATCCCGTGGCTTCAGGGAAGCTGGTGTCCTCCAGTCCTCTCCTCTCCGGTTGCTTGTGGCCTATTAAAGGCGCTCACGTCCATACTGTGCACAGCTCCGCAAGCACACCAGCAAGATACCACCTTGCTGCTTGGTGCCCTCAGCCCGCCTCTGCTCATGTCTGTGTCTTTCTGTTGCAGCTCTGAAAAGTCCAACTGAATTCCATGAGCAAAGAAAACATTTGGATAGTGACAAGGTAAATTTTTTTCCAAGCTGCCCTTCTTTCTGAACTTAGACTCCAAGGTATGGATCTCTGAGTGCTCAGCTTTGGCTCAAGCAGGTAGAATTTCTGCAACAAACCTAATACGTGCCCCACCCTTCCACGCACCGTAGGGAACCCTACTTCTGTGAACCGAAAACTGGAAATAGCTTTGAAACACATTTAGCTGGAAACAATTCGTTAGCTTAAAAAAAAGTCTCCAAAAAAAAAAAAAAAAAGTGTTTCCAGTCTTTCTGACATTGGGAAGATCATTGCAAGGATGCTGTAGAAATCAGTCTTCAAAAAGCCTTTATAGTCCTTTCTTACAATCAGGTTTTTACAAATCCAATTCAATGGTATGGTGGAGTCTGTGCGTACAGAGCTGATTTGCAGTGACTCAAAGGCAAAAGGCATTGAGTTTATTTCTCTTTCTTTCTGGCTTTTTTGTTGCTGTTGTTTGGTTTTTTTGGTTTTCTTTTTAACATTTCAGGGTGGGGGATGTGGTAATTGGCACATAATTTGCACCTTCATAGCAGATCTCTGCACACTGAACCTATCAATAATATAATAAATACTATTTAGTCGACATCAGCCCCATAGGGGAAGGAAAGGCAAGGGGGGTGCCTTTGTCCTGGGGTCCCTTTGTCTACGGATTCTAGCCTTGCAGTTGCTTTGTGGGTGGAGAAAGGAGCAGACCTCTGTACCTCTTCAAAGCTGCGTAGGAGAGGCTTTGGCCTCTGCTACCTGGAAAACAGCTGTCTTTGATCAGAACTGGAGTGATCTCTGGACCCCTCTCCGGGGGCAAATAGGAGACCCAATATAGTGGCCTAAAAACCCAGAACTAGAGATCAGGGCCTGATGTCCGGCTGTTGCCCTAACAGAACTCCACATCATCCTCACAGACACCTCCACCATCCAGAAGACTGTGGGACTTGCTAAGTAATCCCTGGGCATCCTTCTAACCCATGATGCTTCCGAACAGTGGCCTTTACATTTCCACGGCTCCTAAGAGAGAAGCCAGGCAAATTAACTGGAGGAGGGCATACGTTGTCACGTGACACTAGATGGACTCAGGCTACATTTCATCTCTAACCATAGTTCATTTCGTGGCTGTTTTAAGAGTCCCTGGAATAGAATGGACTATAACACGAGTGGCTTAGTAGCATCTGAGCTTTACTATTATTTTATTAACACAGACCCGCACGGCCATTAAGTGTGGACCCATGCTCCTTACCTTTCTACTCAATGTTTCCAGCCTGAAATGACCAGAGAGGCTTTTGTAAGTCTTCCCACATCACAGTGTAGGTGACTGGGGAGATTCGCAGGTTCTGAGGAATGCTTTCCCCTTTCGAGAGAAATCGGGGTTCTTTTCAAGCCCCAAACTGGGCTGTTCGGCCATCTGGGGCCCACAACGGAACTCATTCTGTGTTTGTGCTTGCAGACTGAAGACGCGCTGAAGCACAAGGTCAGAAACAGACCCGACCGCGTGGACGTGGTTAATATGCACGTTCTTCAAGGTGAGGCTGCACCCAAGTGTAAACCCAGAGCCCCATAGAAGGGTGGGCCATCGTGCCAGAGTCCTTCTCTTTGTGCATTTGTGAAGGTGTCTCAAACAGTGTCCCCTGCTCTTCCAGAATGGTCCTTTGAGTTGTTTTAGGGCCACTTAGTCCCATCAGGAAGGTATAGGCTGGGCTCCGATCTCCGCTGCACCATCTCTGGGCCTCTCTGAGCACCTCTCTCTCCCCGCCACGTACCAGATTCCTCTAAAGTGTGTCCACCCTTTAGCCAGTAACAAATCCCTAGCATGCTAACTAAGGAAAACAATCAAGACATGCCAAAACGTATATATACAGTGACGTCTACTAAGGGATCACTTTAGATGTTGGAACATTGGAAACAGGGATATGTCCAGCTCTAGGCGATTGGCTGAATTAATTTCGCATGGTTCATGTGATTGAATGCCTTGCAGCCACTGCAAATGAGGCTTTCAAAGAAAAATGATTTAATGAGAGAGGGCCTCCAAGATGATGTTGAGTGCAAGAGACCAGAAAACAAAACCGTATTCATGATCAGGTTCAGGGACAAAAAAACATACATAAATGGTATTTACAGTTTGAAGCTGTGATTTAAAAAAACAAAAACCAAAAACCATAGACCTGAGGCACCTGGCTGGCTCAGTCGGTGGAGCGTTTGACTCTGGATCTCAGGGTTGTGAGTTCAAGCCCCACCATGGGTGTAGAGATGACTTAAAATGTTTTAAAAAATTTTTAATTAAAAACAAAAACAAAAACCTACCCTTAACAATAAGTATAAACAGTTAAGAAAGGTACCCACCTATTAAAAACAGAGGTTTCTTGATGCTTTCATTCTCAGAGCCCAACATGGGGCTCGAACCCACGAACTGCAAGATCATGACCTGAGCCCAAGTTAGAAGCTTAACCGACTGAGCCACCCAGATGCCCCTCTTTATTTTATTTTTTTTTTAAATGTTTTATTTCTAGGAGAGAGAGAGAGAGACAGCGTGAGCAGGGGAGGGTCAGAGAGAGAGGGAGACACAGAATCTGAAACAGGCTCCAGGCTCCGAGCTGGCAGTCAGCACAGAGCCCGATGCGGGGCTCGAACCCACGAACTGCGAGATCATGACCTAAGCGAAAGTCGGACACTCAACCGACTAAGCCACCCAGGCGCCCCATCTCCCCCAAGTTCTTACACAGAAATAAATTGGGGACTAACCAAAAGAGGAATAGAAGGGTGATTTATGGCTTCTTAGTGACCTTTGTCACTCTCAAGTGATGAGAAACTGCCTGTTGGATCAATTCAATATTAAAGATCCTCCTGTTTAATAAAGTTACTGTTTCAAAGAGATTTTTTTTTTCCTTTACAATTGACCCTGACATTTGAATCAGTGTCACAACATCCCCAAATCTAAACCCCTGAAGAAGTCCTACTACTACAACTAATTATAATAATAGGTAATACTTGCTTCAGGCTTCTCCTGTGCCAGACAATATATAGACAGGATGTGCGTTCAAATGTTGCAACTTAGGGTCAGCAAGCAATGTCGATCCTGTGGACTGCCTGTTCACAGAATCACCAAATCGCACTTTTTTTTTTTAAGAATCGTTGTGAAGTGCATTTCTCTAACTCTTCTGTGCCTCTCCATTTGCCTTTATTTGGAAGCATCTAGCCTTTGTTGCTAATCCATGTGAAGGGATGATGATGGCACTGAAAAATTATCAGGGCAGTAGAGCCCAGTGTGGTACAAAAGTAAAACACCCAAAGCAAAAACAATGCCACATTCTAGAACCGATTCTTTGTGCTTCAACCCCTTAGCCTCCACTACAGAGAGGTCCATCCCAACTGCTCAGATGAAGCTGAAGAGAGCCCGACTTGCAGATGATCTCAACGAAAAGATCGCTCTCCGACCGGGACCTCTGGAGTTGGTGGAGAAGAACATACTCCCCGTGGACTCTGCTGTGAAAGAGGCCATAAAAGGTACTTAGAACCCATGGCATGCTTCTCTTGTGTGCTCTGGGATCTGAGGGCAGCCAAGGCTCTGACCTGCCTGGGGGTGGGGCCTCTCACTAGACAACAGTCCTGCGGAGAGTCGCTGTCCCAGAGTGGTCTCCATAACCCGAGACCCTGGGAGTGAGGACGAGACTCCCACACACTCGCCCTGCAACGTCAGGTTAACACCAACCAGTGTGGTCCTAGTCAAGCAGGTGGGGAACCTGAGTTGATGGAACTCTCCCAACCTCTCCCCTGCAAGGTTCTATCACTTGGGAGTCACGGCCCCCTGGAGCCCTCCTCTTCTAGAGGAAGAAGACTAGTAGAGCTGAACAGACATTAGACTGGAATCAAAAGACCTGAACTCTAAGCCCTGTTTGCTGCGTGTCGGGGCTTCCCCAGGGCCCTCCGCCTCTCAGAGGTGCTGATGATGACACTCGCCCGGCCCAACTCAGAGGCTCCCGGGAGTGAAGCTCGGGTTATAGATACACGTGAAAACTCTTTGTAACAATCCCCACGGGGACCCCAAGGTTAAAGAAGTACAAATACTTAAGGAGGAACACAAGCATTAGTTCTTTCGTAAACCGTATAAAATAATTAAGATCAAGTGGACCCAAATAGCCCAAGTGCATTGAGGAAACGGTGGAAAAGGGAACTTAGCATTCCCATAGGCGAACTTGACTTTTCTTCCAGTGATGCCCACCAAGAACAACGTTACGGATTATTGATGTTTAATAAGCAACACATTTAAATGTTTAACCCACCATCAAAAGGTATACGTAAAGACATTCTATCGAGCACGTAAGTTCGATGTGAAACTTGTCATCAGGTGTATTATCCCCGATTCTAAAATCTTGCTGTCACCCTGCCATTCAAAGGCCATGCGACTTTAGTGTGTGGAACCTATAAATATGAAAATCTCTGCTCGAGGAGAAATGCTCACCCATCAGCCATTATCCCCTGTGACGTTCCCTCTTTACTCTCTCCCTGCACACTGAACATCCCATGCCTTTGAATTTGGACTATCCTAGACCACCCAACTGGGTACTATCTCTGTCTCACCTCTGACAAGATCTAAGAAAAAGCTCCATGGGGTATCTCCTAATTTCTTAACATTCTCTATTCCATACGTTTAAATCTATTATTGATTTTATGTGATAAGGGGAAAGATGTCAATTTGCAGTTTTTGGTTTATGGTGAGATTCTGGTTTTCCATGTGATTTCGTGGTACTGGCAATTCATGGCTATTCCTCTCATTGTTCTACTGGGCATTTTCTCTCGTTCCTGCTTTGCTGAAACTACTCATGGAAAAAAATAATGCTAACCCTCCATCTGTCACAACTATCTTTTACCTGTTTGTGCTTTGCCTTTTTGTATGTGAGCATATTTTATACCTATAAGATATTTTTATTTTCTATATAGTTCAATCTAGTCATGTTTTTGTGGTTTCTGAATTTATCAGTGATTGAAAACATTTCTTAGCTCAGGAATCATAGAGTAATTCACCTCTAATGTCTTCTAACATTTATATACTTCATTTTTATTTTTCAGTCTTTCGGGCATATGAAATTATTTAAGTGTGTGGTTTATTTATTTATTTATTATTTTTAATAGTTTACTGTCAAGTTGGTTTCCATATAACACCCAGTGTTCATCCCCACAAGTGCCCTCCTCCATGCCCATCACCCCCCTCCCCCCCACATCCATCAGTCCTCAGTTTGTTCTCAACATTCAAGAGTCTCTCATTATTTTTAATGTTTTTTAAAATTTTTTATTTTTGAGGGAGAAAGACAGAATATGAGTGGGGGAGGGGCAGAGAGAGAGAAAGAGAGAGAGAGAGAGAGAGAGAGAAACACAGAATCCACAAAGCAGACTCCAGGCTCCAAGCTGTCAGTACAGAGCCAGACATGGGGCTTGAACCCGTGAACCACGTGATCATGACCTGAGTTGAAGTCAGATGCTTAACTGACTGAGCCACCCAGGTGCCCCTAAAGTACGTGGTTTAAAAGACACTGCTAGTTCTGTGTTTTTCCACAATTTTATTGATGTATTTTACAATTTACTTTGGCATCTACCTGACAAGTCTCTTTACATTGGTCTGATATTTCTAATGTTTCTTGGCTATTCTCATAAGTCTATGCTGGATGAAATTTAAAATCAGTGTAGCATATGCCAGTTTCAGTCTTGTTAGATTTTTGTTTGGGGTTGCAGTGAATTTTTTTTTTTTAATTTTTTAATGCTTATTTTTCTGAGAGAGAGAGACAGCATAAGTGGGTGAGGGGCAGAGAGAGAGGGAGACACAGAATCTAAAGCAGGCTCCAGACTCCAACCTGTCAGCATAGAACCCGATGTAGGGTTCAAATCCTTAAACCATGAGATCACGACCAGAGCCAAACCCAAGAGTCAGTCAGTCAACTGACTGAGCCCCCGCCACCCGGCACTGATGCTGGTGCATTTTTATGTTTAAAATACATCAATTCTTCTGAGACAGAAATACAGTCTCTCTTTCCATTTATTCAAGTCATCTTTCATTTTCCTTGGTGAGGTATTTTTTTTTAAGTAAAGTCACATCAATTATTGCTGACCTATAGGAAATCTATTAATTTTGCACATTTTCTAACTTGGAAAGATTTCTTAATATTTCCAATAGTTGCTCCTACAAATAATGAAGATTTGTCTCCTGCTTCATATTTTTCCTGCCTTGTTGCACTGGCTGATACTTGAAAAGTGACATGAAGATTTTATTAATATATTATATAACTAGCATCATCTAAAACATTATATACAGTTATTCATAACATATTTTATATACAAGCTTCATGCTTTATGTGCAAATTACATATTTGTAAGTTACATGAGTTTTATATAAATTTTAAAGTTTAATATACTGTACTATATGAACCTCATAATCTAATAATAATTGTACCTAATAATAATTATGCAAACCTAATTATATATAAAATATATAACCTAATAATAATTATACAAACCTAATTATATATGAAATATATAATTTTATACCATATATAAAATTACATATGTGAATTACATAAAGCACATAATTTGTTATTTCATATTGTACAATGAACAATATTTCACTATACCGTTTAATAATTATTAATATATTACATAGTAGAAAAATTATGATTGTCACTTTTCTAGTACTAAGCAGTATTATATTGTTGTTATATGGATGTTATGTTTTTGTTATATTGAGGATAATATTTTTCTGTTTCTATCATAAATGGGGATTTCTTCACTCATATACCTCTGTATGTGCCATTAACCTTTGGTATAGATAGGTATTCTAAGGAGGTATTTCTCTATAAGATGGATGCTGAATTCTTAAAATGCTTTCAGGGCACCTGGGTGGCTCAGTGGGTTAAACATCTGACTTTGGCTCAGGTTGTGATCTCGTGGTTGGTGAGTTTGAGCCCCACGTCGGGCTCTGTGCTGACAGCTCAGAGCCTGGTGCCTGCTTCGGATTCTGTGTGTGTGTGTGTTTCTCTCTCTCTGCCCCTCCCCTGCTCACTCTCTCTCAAAAATAAATAAACATTAAAAAAAATTTAGATGCTTTCAGCGTGCACAAAAAGATGATCACATGGGTTTTCTTCTTTGACCTAGGAATGTGGCATTGCTGTCTTTCTTAATTATCTTGCATTTCTGGGGGGGAATCCTACATACAATTTCTTTCTAGAAATATTTTTATTTTATTTTATTTCAGGTTTGCATCTCTTTTATTATTAGTTAGGATAACAGTAGCTGCTAAACCACAAAACTTCAGTGGCTTGACACTAGAAGTTTATGTCTTGTTCATAAACGGTCGAGGAAGGCTTTTTCCTTAATGGCGGATCTTTCCAGCACACAGTCTGCTTCACTCTGGCTGCTTCAAGGTCCCCTAGAGCAGGGATGCAAACTTTTTCTTCAAGGGCCGACAGTAAGTGAGCGAAGCTATTTAAACCGTCCCAACCACTTAGCTCTCAGCTGCTGCCATGTGAAAAGAGCCATAAGCGCGAAGTCAGCAAATGGGCATGGCTGTGTTCCAATAAAACTTTATTTACAAAAGCAGGTTCACAAGCCATAATTTGCCAACCTGTGCCCTCAAGCCTCCTCATCCTCTGTAGCTAGCCAGGGAGCGGAAAGCAAGAACGAAAAGGTCCACCCACCGATGGTAAAAGCCTCCACTTGGACATCAGCATATCACATCTGTTCCCATTCCCCTGTGAAAATAGCGCCAGTGGCTCAGGAAGGTATTTTTCTGGCGGAACAGTGATTTTCCCGCAATATCTCCCTACTGTGGAAGGGAGAACATAAATTTTTATGACTAGCTCGTCTTGTCTGCTACAGTGCTCACAAATAATATTCGTCTTTGTTTTTGTTTTATCCTTGTCAGGTTTAAATATCAAGACTTATACGTGCTTCACAAAATAAGTTATAATTATCTTTCCATATTTTCCCATGTTTGGAAAGGGTTTATGACCACACTGATCAGCGCTTTGAAAACATTGCCTATTAAAGTCATGGGGACTCAATACTTTCCTTAGGAGTAGATCTTTAACAGCTTTTATTCTGTTTTGTCCATAGTTTTTTTGTGTATTCAGATTTTCTCCTTACGGTAATTTGTACAGTTTACCTTATACAAAAAATTCCCATTGTCCCTCTGGATTACAAAGTTATTAACGTCCAGCCCTATTAAGTCGTGGCTTTACAATTATTCTAGGTCGCTCTCAACCAGGGGTTAGATGCGATATTTTAAAGCAGTGTGGTCATTTGTGTGTTTTCTCCCTTCCTCCCTCCCTCTTTCATCAAACTTGCAAAAAGTCTGTCTTTCTAGGCCGTTATGATTGCAAAGAAGCAGCTCATGAATTTGTTCACAGATGCTGTTGGTTTCTGGTCTTGCATTCAGTTTCACCTCTCATGAAGGTCACTGAGCGGGACAGCCTCCATGAGGAGGGTTGAGGATCAAGAATGTTCATCAGTTTCAAGTG